CCCTGCTGCCAAAGGGTGGATCTGTTCTGTTCTCCAACAATAAAAACCAGATGATTTTCCTTCTTAAAATACCCGAAGGGGATTGCTAACACAGATCCTCTTCACTGTGTGCCCATCCTAGTGTGCACAGTCAAATCCCATCCCTCCCAGCAGCAACGAAAAGCTAATCCGTGGCATTGAAGGCACCCAGATTAACCCACTGCAGGATTAGGATGCTTGAGCTGTTGTTAGAAGATTAGTATATTTGGTTGTCAACACTTGCTGAACTTGGCCTGAAAATGATTTCCAACGAGGTCGCTGACTCTTGGGTGCCAGTTTGCCTGGCACATTAGGAAAGGCTGGAGTTAAAGCAAGTGGCTGCAAAGATTAAACTGGAGTTCTGAGTGTGCAGAATACCTTTAGGATTTAAACCTTCCGTCACTGCTGATAGGCACAAAGGGCTTTGGCAGTTTCATCAGAATTGCTGAGCTCCTGCTTTGCTGGGGAAGTGTTTCTGGAGCTTTGCCTTCTGGAGTTTCCTGCTGTTGACAGTGTGTGGCATTATGTGGGTGAGCTGCCCACAGATGAACTTGTCCCAGTTCCTGCACAGTGCAAAATGAGTTTATTTTGAGGACAGGGTCTCCACAGGGGCACCTCTAGGTAGAAAGCAATTGGCTTCCACTCCGTCCTGGGACTCAAATTGTCTGTTCTCATAACGTTTTATTTCAGCTACTAGCAGGAGGATTCATGTTTTTTTTAAAAAAAGGGTCTTACTCTTGTCAGCAGGGCAGTAATACCAGCACAGAGTCTGCTCATGCTATTTCAGCACCTTGTAAGTGCTTACATGGCTTTCCAGTGCATGGAGGAGTGGCAGTGGAGATGTGGTCCCATTGCAACCAGTCCTGCTGTTGTGTGTGAACTGGTGTCTGAGGTGCCCTGATGCTGGGGAGCACATCATGGTGCTGCAGGGAGTGTGCCTGGGGAGGGGTGGGCATGGTACAGCTCCTCTCTTTCTTGCAAAGCAGCTATTTTCCTATTTGTTTTTTTCCCTCTGTGAAATTGCAGATGAGAGCTCTCAAGAGTCTAAAGATAGACCCTTCAAAGATTTTTGGTAATACAGGGAGAGTATGTGTTTTCCTCTGTTTATCAGTGGAAAACTGCCATGCTTGTAAAGTAACTGTTAGTTGGAAACTGTTTTTCCCTGTCATGAGCCAGGTGAATACACACTTATATTTGATTCAAAGGAACTTGTCTTGAAAAGTACCAACTGCTGTCTGTGTCATGGAATTGGTTCCAGTGATTTCATTCAGTGTTGCTGCAACTATCTGGATTTCAAGGCACATCCTTTTATGAATGTGGATTGTATCATGCTTCCCTTTGTGCATACAAACTTTTGCAGCCATTTCTTGTCTGAAATGTACATAACTGCATTTGTCACTCCTCTGACAAATTTTTCTTCCTCAGCAGGCCAGCAAAGATATTCAAATGAAACCCATGTTGAAGATATAAGCCTAAAAGTTCTTTCAGTGAAGATACACTAGAGAAAGGTAGGGTCCTTCCATAAATGCTTCCTTTGAGTTTGATGCTGGTGTCTTAAATCTGTAGCTGTCCTGAGCATTCCCACTTTTGGGAATGCTGTACAGCCTAGTGAAGCAAGAGCTGTTCAATTTTAATACCTTTATAAGCACTAAGTACATTCCTCTGTACTTTACAAACATACTTAAGGGGATTTCTGTAGAGCTGCATGATAAAATAATTTTGAATATTTTATCTAAGGCCTGTGTTGCAATTTATTCTGCAAAAAACCCTTCTGAATCTCAGAACGTGGGCCTAAAGTTTCTGCCTGGATGACTGTGTGTGGCAAGAGGACAAGGCCACCACTATGGTGGCATTGCTTCCAGCTGTCTCACTGCAACAAAAGATCCATTATGGAAACACCAGCAAGAACATGGGACAGCAAGGGGTGGGTGTATGTTGGTTCTCCCACTTGGCCAATGTTTCCCACATGCAGAACTTACCTGGATTTGGATCAGCATGGACCTGGCTGACCAACTGGTCTGTATTCAGTGAAGGATTTCAAGCCACCCATTCGTTGGATGGAAACGTAATGTCTGACATCATGCTAAGGTAGTCTGGACTATCTGATGAGCAAACACACACACATATATATTCACTACATATATACACAAGTAGGCCATAAATAAGACATGGTCCAGTGTGGAAAACGGTGCACTGTAGATTTTAATATACTAGGAAGAGAGGCCATATAGTGGCTCTTCTTGTATTTCAGCCCATGCTTGATGTAACAAGAGCTTATAAACTTGTAACCTGAAGGGAGTTTCTAGGACAGGGGCAGAGTCACTGGGTTCATATCTGGGGGATACGCAAAGTGAAAAAAGGAGAGAAAAATGCAAATGCCACCCTGCTGTGAGCTCACGCCTTTGTCTTCTTCAAGGAACAGGTTATGTATGAGCAGCTCTGGCTAGTAAGAAATGATCATACTTAAGCCACTGGTTTCCACATCAGAATACCTTCGAAGGGTGGACCTCAGAATACCTTCAAAGGGTGGACCTCACACCTACACTGATAAATAGGCGAGGACAGTGCTGGCTGGATGCCCTGCAGTTCCCACTGCTGGATAATCCATGTTCACACAGGCTTTGCACACCTATCTGAATGGCCAAGGAAGCTCCAGCTGGGTTAATTCCCAGTCCTATGATGTTGTTTCCAATGGGTGAGGATAAGTGCCAGTTAATCACTGCCTTTATATTTGAGATGGGGCAGATCCCAGCAAGACTGTCTGCTTGGTAGGCACTGTAGCTACATAAGGTAAATAACATTTCGATGCTGAAGAATATTTTAAATTGGGTATAAAAGTTTTAATTTGAGAGGAAACAATCAGAAATATAAAATGAAAGGGATGGATGTGGTGAGCCTGTGGTTCTGTAGCAGACAGAGGTGCAGGTGGAGGCTGATCAGGTAGCACGGCTTCCACTGCTTCTGTGGGATGGGCTTGCACTGGTGGGGGGGGGGCAGGAGCCTTTTCCATATTTAAGAACAAAAATTTACCTGTGAACCAATCTCCATCTGTTGCTATAGGAAGATCTGTAGCTGCTCACAGGATCCAGACCTTGCTGTGTTGTTAATGGTTAGACTGGATCTTAGAGGTCTTTTTCAGCCTAAACTTTTCTGTGGTTCTGTGTGTTACATCTGGGTGTTCATCCCTGGAAGTGTTAGGGCCAGGTTGGATGGGACTTTGAGCAAACTGGTCTAAGTAGAAGGTGTCCCTGCCTACGGCAGGGAGGTCGGAGCTAAATGATTCCTAATGTCCCTTCAAATGCAAACCATTTTATGATCTCCATCTTTCCCAAACCCCAAATCCAGGCTGTTTCTCCAGCACCCTCGGCCAGCATCCCCTCTCCCACTCCGGAGTGCTGATTCTGAGATACAATATTTTGCATTAAGTGCTCAGTTTCCCCCCTCCTGGCAGAAATGGGGAAGGACAAAGCAGGCAAGAGCCCAGAGCACGCACTCATTAGCTTCTGTCTGCCAACAAGTTTGGGATCATGCAGTGTTATATGCAATGTCTGGCTGTTATAAAAGGCTTTGGTTAAGTAATCACATCTCTCTTGCATAAGTGCTTGTTTTTGGGAGGCTTTAGCCAATTGGAGGCTGCAGCAGCTCACAGACAGAAAGTATGTCTAACTACTGTGATACTTTCTTTGCTAATAATACAAGATTATTAATCTGCTGAAAGTTGTATAAAATCTCTTTAGATAAGATTAGGCGGCGGAGACTCCCCAGCGCTGCTTGTAGCTGAACTCAGCTGTAACACTGCCAAAAATCCTGTGTGGACCCTCGTGAGTAATATTTCTGATTGTTCTAAAGGGTGTTTGTGGCTGGAAACTACAGGCAGAGACATATTGCAGATGTTTATTGCAAGCAGTAAGTTAGAAGGAGGCAGGAGGTGAGAGACAGTGGTGAAACTATTGATGGGTATAATAAGGCTTTCCTCCTAGACTTCCGTAAGCAAGCATGGGTTTCTCTGAAGATGTGCAATCAAGATTCTTCCAAATAAGCTAATGAAAAAGAAATGGGGTGCTGAAGACAATTACAGGACTGCAAGAGGACAGAGATTTGGCCTGACAGTGAGATTAAAGGACCATCTTGATCCATATATTGGTTTGGAGTGGCCAAATGTCCTATTCTTATATTTTTCCTTGATCATTGACAAGTGTACAATGATATTTTTCTCCTATGTTTTCATGGCTTTCAGAAATCTGCATGTCAATTATTTCCTGAGCCAGAAAAGATATCTCTAATAGTACAAGTGGATTTTTCTTTTCAGAATTTGCTAATCCACTGTATCTGTTGAAGACAGTGATTTGTTTTGTGATTTGACTGACATAAATCTAACTGGGATTTGATATCTTGAGTTAAATGAGTTCTCCCACATAGGATTTTAATTTTTATTTTAAAAAAAGGGTGGGTTTTCCACTTAGAGAGAATTGAAAAGGGCAAAGCATGTATGGATTTACAGAAAACAGGAATTCCCTTCCCACTTCCTTGTGACGTGTCTGGATGCAGCTCAGTCAATGAACAAAGCCCGGAACTATAAAACCATCCACTGAAGTAGGAACTGAAATTTATTAGTTCAAGACTGAGCAACCTGGAATGCCTCCAGTTGTTATTCCTGCCAGCCCTGGAAGGCATTAGAGTGCCATTGTACAGAGAAGGCAGCTCAAGTGCTGAGCTGTGAGGAGAAATAAAGGCTGTTGCCTATAGTTTGGATGTATGTATGCTTACTCTTAGAGGTGGCACAGAACTCTGCCATGATAGAACAAATTCTGGACTAATGGAAAGCACTTGGGAAAGCTCAAGTCACTACTTACTAACCTTTAAAAAAATGTAGTATGTGGATTTTACAGTCTATAAAGTTCTTGGAACCTGCTAAAGCGTTTAAATCTTATTGGCAGCCAGTCCATGAGGAGGTAATACCACCATGAAAGGAAGTTAATTTGTAGGAGTTATGGGATTAGAGAGGTAAATGTGAAAAGTTATGTTGAACTAAAAGGCACTTGGCTGCAAGGCCAAGACTTCAATATTTTCATATTTGCTTCCTAGAGTGGGTAAAATTGATAGGCCTCTTTGCTTCAGTAAAACTGCAATAGTGATGTAAATAAGCTGGGATCACTCTTTTGCTGGCTAAGTATCTAGGCCTTAAAACCTTTGATTTAGGCAAACCTAAGCTATGGCTCTTGCACTGTGCCAGTAAGGGATGAAGGCATGGAGGGATGGAGCAGACTGCTCACTGGACAGCCAATGGCTTCCCATTTCCATTCTACCATCTAGTGAGGTCTCCTCAAACAGAGGTGCTCCCAGACCATGCAAGTCCTTTTTAGTTCTAATGAAAACACCATGAAAAAAAGTCAGCAGTTAAAATTTGGGAATTTACAACATTATTTCTAAAACAGTTTCTGTTTTACAGAACAGGAACAAATCCAGGCATCCTTTAGGGTAGTCAAACAATGTCTCTAACATGTTGCAGGGTAAGATGGATGCTGTACACAAGTTGAAGGTTTTGGTGATGTTTCTATCTCTGGCTACTTTCACGGTCATGGTGATAATGAACGCTGGAAATGCCACTGGGATATTCAAAGGTAACACAAGCAAATTGGTTTTGTTCAGAGGTGGATTTCATGCGCTGTATAGTTTGATGATATAAGGATGGGATAGATCTGTTTGTTAGCTCATCAACTGTCCACACACACCTTGTTCTGTGAAAGGTGGAAGTAGCTGGTGCATCCTCCAGGTGTTTCAGCCAGATGCCTGAGCCCCATCCTGTCCCTTAAAATCCAAGGAAATGGTCTTGTCCCTGGTGACCCTGGATCTAGTGGTGCAATGTCTTTGCAGACATTGCCCTTGTGTCCCTGCTGAGAGATGTTCAGGCTGCTGCTGTGGGTTTATAGAAGCCAGTGGTGCCATGTTTGAGCACTACCCAGCTGAATCTGCCAGCAATTGTGCTTTTTCTCTGGATTTCACACACAGCTGGCTCCTCTGGTTCTGTATAAGAGGGAAGGTGCTCGGGGTTCCCCATAGGGACAGTGATCCCATAATGGGTGTCTAAAGGGAAGCCAACTGCAGCATGTGGCTTGTTTACACCAAGGGTGTGCTTTCATCATCCCCAAACCCACTGGGGTGTGGATGAAATCTGGAGGCAGATTGAAGGGTGAGGGAAATCAGCAGTCTTTCCCCATCCTTAGGATGTAGTAACAGTTTTGCCTGCAATGACATTCACCAACACAGGTCTGTTCAGGACAACCCCTGGAAACATCTCAGACAAGTACAGCACTGATTTCACACCAGCTGGCTGGACTTTCCTCATCTGGAATGTCATCTATGCCTGGCAGCTCGCCTGGCTTCTCTACGCCTTGTCAGGGATCTGTCGAAGGTATTTTCCCTATTTACTGTTTATGGTAGAAATGAGAGGGAACAGTGACTCTTCCTTTCTGTAGTAGCTCAGAGTCTTAGCCCCTTTTCTGGGGTTTCTAGTAAGAGTAAACCCATTGCCATTTATCTTGGCATGCGAAAGGACTGCTGGAGCACCTCTTAGGCTCAGCATCCAAAGCTGGGAAGCAGTTTGGAGGTGTACATGAACTGCTCTAACATGTGAACAGGTATCAGTGTGTAAAGTGCTCTGTGAGGCCTCATTTCCACTAACTCGTGGGATTTGACAGTTTTACCTGCACTTACCCACTGCTAGATGCTGACAATCCACAGGGGCAAAATTAATGGATTATGGATCTAATGCTCTGAGTTTACTTGCTGTTAGACATCAGAGAATCACCACTGGGGAGTCTCTTGGCTTGTTGAACTGGACTTCAAGCTTTTTCTGGGGCTATGAGGTCAGTAACTGCCTCATGCAGTTCCTTGCAGTATCCGTAGTATTCCAGGATGTCTTCTGTGGGGCAGACTTACACTGTACCTCTCCTGTCAAGGGGGACCATGGACTGCTTAGATGGAGTTGTGTATCTGCTATTTTTTCATGGTTTCATCTCTCATTTGGTGATGACCAACACCAAATGAGGGTTGAGGGAAGAATGAAGTGTGTGTTTGTACATAATCACCAATCAGTCCATGCACACATATGAGCACACACAAAATACATACTCACATACTCACACAGTGATCCCAAAAGCCCCAGGAACTGGGCTAAAATTCCATGACCATGCCATTGCTGCCACCAGCAGTGGCACAAGCTTTACAGCATCTGTGGAGCAGTCCTCAGTATCCACTGTACCTGTGATGGTGCAGAGACCAGCAAGAAGTTCTGTACTGTGGGACAATGTCTGGATGGGGAAAGCCACAGGGACTGTGTTGTGTCAGAGAAGGATGCACAGGAGAAATAGTCTGATTTAACTGGAATATTTAACTCCAGTGTAGAGTCCCTGGTAGTATAAGGAAAATGAGGCCAGGAAAGTTTGGTTGGTCAGTGCAGGCATTGTTTTCCTTTCTCCATGCCCACTTTTTCCTGGCAGGAATGAATTTGGACGTGTCTTCATAAAGCCAGACTTGCTGCCAATACCTTTTTATGTGTCGTGGTGTCTGAATAATGGCCTCAATGTTGGATGGCTCTTTCTGTGGGATCGAGAGTAAGTTGCCTTTTGCTACAAATGCTTTATAGCACTCTTGTTCAGAATACTCCAGTACTTCATTTTGCCTTTTCCTCTGTGTATGAACACTTAATCACACCTGTAAAACTCTGTGGCAGGCCTTGGCAAAACATAGCCTTCATAGAAGTTTAGAGTTTTTCCATGATGTTGTCATCTTACCCATGAGCTAGATTGGTCACTGAAGTCTAAGATCTCCTCAAAGCTGCTGCTCTTCTATGTTTTTACCTCCACAGGTAAGACAGGAGCCATGCCTCTCTTCATAAATGCTCCCTGCCTTGGATTGTTTTCATAATCATGGCCACATTAAGGGCTTATAAAAGCACCACTGTCAAGAGGTGAAGAAATTAGTTGCAGTTAGGAAAATAACTTCATGATTAACAGAGTAAAACAGCAACAGCATAATGTCAAAATGTGGGCTACATGTAGTGATTACCTCTATTAAAGGCTGATCAACTTAAATTCAGTAAAGGCCAAACACTAAAGCTATGAATTAAAGCATTGTGACACCACTGAAAAAAATGTACTGTCTATTGTGTGTGCGTGTTCTTTGTCCTAGATACCTCCTTCCAGCCCTGGTGTTCCTGGTAGTCCTCACTCTTACCACGTGTGTCTCCCTCTTTGTTTCACACCGAGCCTTGAGCATCTATTCCTCGTGGTTTGTGAAGGGTCACAAAGCTGAGCTCTGGCTCATCCGCATTCTGGTAGGTAGCATTTGGGAAGCTGTGCTGTGGGTAAATGCTAAAAAATGCCTCCCTCTGCGCAGTGTTGGAGGTATCGAGAGTGAAAGATTCAATGGCAGGACACGGGTTAGGAAAGAGCTCTGCCCTGACTTTGACTTGTGCTTGCTGCCGGTGCGCACAGGCTTAATTGCATCTGCTTCCTATCGGGCACCATGGGAATGATTCAGAGCAAGGTACTTCTCCAGCTGCTACAGAATAAAGTTTTCAGTGGAGTGGGAAAACTTCAGCCCAGACTTGCATCTGGGATGGGGAGAATATTTCTTGCAGGGGGAGAAGCCATTGCTAAGGGTCGCTTCTGATGCTGTAGCTGATCATGACGTTCCTGACATTTGACCTCAAAAAATTATATATTTCTTACATGGGGAAGTGTGCAGTGCTCAAGGATTCAAATGCAGCTGTCTTTCTGAGTTTTGTGAAATTCTGGAAGGAATTGCTTTTCTGCTGTCCCTGAGAAGAGGGGTTGTTTGGCAAACCTCACAGAGAAAAAAAGATAAACACGCTCATGCTCCATCACTCCTGTTCGTCTCTCCTAGCTCAAACCTGCTACCTTGATGCCTTCTTCTTCTATCCAGGACATCTCACATTGCACTCCCATGGCTGCCTGTGTGTGCTTTAACCACCTCCGATTCCTTACTTAATATTGGGGTTGCTCAGTAAAAAAGTGGGTCAGCAGTAAGAAACCACCCAAAAAGAAAATGGGGTTTTGGTGGAGGGGGAGTTCTGCACAGAAAAGTTCCTACCAACCCTTCTGGAAATGTGCCTACATCTTTTAACACAAACTGGGAGTGGGCTCTGTCCTTTACACCCCTGTACTGCACTTCCCTGCAACACCTGTACAACACACTGCTGAGGTGGATCCCTGGACTTCTTTGGGGACTCCAAGGCTTCTATGCCTCTCCAGCCTGAGGGACTTTTCCTGCAGCTGGGTCCAGAAGTCTGGATTAACTGCCCCCAGGCCTCTGGGTCACAGAAGGCAGAGATTACCCTATTTATCACTGCTTGTCCCCTTGCTGTGCTGTGTGGCAGGTCCAGAACGGGCTGGCACTGTACGGAACATGGACCACCATCGCCACTCTGCTGAACTTTGCAGTTGTGCTGATCTACCAGGGGAACGTGTCCCATGAGAAAGCAACCACTGCTTCTCTCAGCATCCTTGCTCTCTGCCTGGTCATATGGTAAGCACCCTCATGGGTTCCCACCAAGCCTCAAAGACCCTTTCTACCTCTCACAAATGGTGTCTGTCTGTCCCTGTTTGTTTGTGGTTCATCCCTGTCCCGACACTGAGCACAAAGGCCTCTGTTATAATCCGTGGCAGATGAACTGGGACACTGGGCAGAGCTTTTCTTCCCTGACCCTCAGGAATGTCAATAAGTACATGTTGTGGGCCAGGAACAGGGTTTTGTGACTTGCATGAGCCCAACCTGCCTTAGGTGTACAGATGAGGGTGCGATATGGAAAACATATGAAACATGGCTTTATTTTCCCCTAAATCTACCTTAAATAAATAACTTATGAATCTTCTGAATTTTAGTGAGTAAAAAAATTTTGGACTATGGTCCGAAGTAGCCAAAAAAACCCCCATCCTTTGTCTAATTCCTTTCTTAGAGAATGTAAAAAAAAAAAAAAAAAAAAAGTGGAGAAAATGCTTACTTTGGTCACTCTTTTTCTTCACAGGTTTTACCTAGAAAACTTTTTTCTTGACAAGTATGTCCGCTATAACCTCACAATCTACCCAGTGGTCATAACAGCTCTGATTGGCAGCGCATGCAAGAACAGCTCGTTTTCATCCCCAATGACCAACAACATTTTCATAGGTGAATCTTTTGGACTGTTTCCAGCTCCTGCAAAAGAAGGGCAGCAAACAATTCCACATTCTTACTGTGTATTAGGGGCAGAAAGGCTTGCCACTTGAAAAGTGCTATTTATTAAAAGCAGAAATAGGGATATATTTGGAGGTATTTATTCTGCTAAGTAAAGAGTAGAGCAGAAATCACTGCCCATGAGCCTTGGGGCTGAATGCAAACCTTGTGTCTCAAGTTCAGTTCTGAGCTCTATGTGTTTGCCCCACAATCCTCCATCACTCACTTGGGTCCTCTGCTAGTCCATCTGACACAGGGTGGGCCAAGGGAAAAGCAGGGCTGGGATGAAGGCTGTGGACTTCCCATTTGCCCTATACTGTTTGGGATATGGGAGCAGTGCATAAGCTTCTGACCCACGGAGGGCTTCATAATGCAAAACCCTGCACATGCTCCTCTCCTAAGCAGAGCTCAGGCCGGCCTTAACAAGTTTTCCTGGGATTATTTGGCAGCTGCCAGCCACTGTACCAGAGCTGAGTGTAGTCATCCATTGTAAAAGGGCTTAAGCTGTCCAAATTCTGTACAATCACAGTCTGGCAGGAGCTATACCATTATGAGCAGTTTTATGCTGGCATGAAAGGGACTGAGCTGTGTGAACTCTGAATCCTGCTGTAGCAGTCTGAGATGCCTATTCCCACTGCGGGGTCAGCAGAAGGGAGCATGTTCCCACCCTTCAGCCTTCCTACTGCCACATACCAGTGGCTAAAGCTAATTTCTGGACTGGTACCACCATTGTAACCATTCCAGTACATGTTCCCTTTGCTGTAAGTGCAGCCGGAGTTCTGGTCATGTCTAAAAGCACCAAGCAAGACTTGGAAAAGCTTGTCTGCCACAGGTATGGGGGCACTGGAGGCTTGTCTCCTGTGTTCCTGTAGTAGGTGCATTTCTACCAGCAAAACTTAAATCTTAGTGGTTGAGCTTGTTTGGCTGGTAGGACAAGAATGTGCTTTTCCCAAACTCATACATGTTTCTTTATATAGTTCAACTATTCTTGGAGTGTTTTATTAATGTAATGCATTTTAATTCCTGTATCCATGAAGCCTCCCTCTTTTTAGACGTGCCTTGACCTGGAAACATTGGGCAAATTTGGCTGTATAGCAGTGAAACTCTGAGAAATACAATTCTGGGGGCAATGGATCCTAAACAGGGGATTGGGGTTTTTTTCTCTTTCCCTGAATGCCCCCAGTACTGAGAGCTGGGTTATGACAAGAGGGGTCATGTCTTTCTCTTATGGCCTAACATGCTTTTGTTTCATTTTGGTTTGTTTCTAGTTGTTCTGCTGGCAGGGACTTCCCTGATCTTTGCTGTTCGGCTGGGACTGGTCACGTGGAGACACTATAAGAGACCACTGGAAGCATCAGGAACCACAGACCCGTCAGGCACAGTGGCCTGAGACCTCTGGCATGTTGTGGCAGATACTTGAAAGGGAGAAAAAAGAATTGGGCATCTGCTGGTCGTTCCTTCCAGTATCAACTGCCTTGTGCTTTTCCCTCTTATTCTCCATCTCAAAGGCAAATAGCTTGTGTCTGCAGACCTGTTTTGCTCCCACGTTTTCTCGGACGAGCTACTTGCAGCTTTTACTCTGGAAAAGTGCAGGGAAAGGTCCTTCAGCTGAGCAGCCCTGTGCGCCTCTGTGATGCCTGAGCTGCAGCTCTCTGCTCCTGTCAGAGCAAGGAGAGCTGCCAGTGGGAGGTCTGTCATTCCCTTGGCCATGGGTCCTGAGTATCCACAAATCCTGTTGCTGTGAGCAGATCTCCTGCAGGCAGCAATTGCTTCCTTTCCTCCTTCTCTTCAGCATGACAGAAACAGATACTACAGCTTGATATCTACCTTTACAGTGTCAGCTCTGATGTTTGAGAGACAAGGGAGCAGGAGGAGTGACTGAAGACTTCTGACACAAATGGGTTGCCTTTCCCTGAGCTTGTGCTGGCTGGATGTCTCCTGCTGGAGGATGGTTTGTGGCCACTCTGGAAGGAGGTTAAATGTACAGATGAGATGGTACCTGATCTGGGGTGAAGCCTGCTGCTTCAAAGGAAGCCTGTTTAAGAAAAAAAAATAATATTTGAACCGGTAGAGCGAGTTCATCCTGGATCAGTGCCTTTCTCATGTGGTTTCAGCACTTCTTATTTGGTATTAGGAAGCCTAAAAGTGGGTTGATTGAATTGTTGGACCACTGCCTCTATTTCCTGTGCCTAATCGAGAGTTGGTGGTGCCTCACAGGTGTCTGGAAGTGTTTCTACATGGCAGGTGCTTTCAGATATTGAACATCTTGCAATGCTATTGCAAAGCTAAATTCTAAAATAATGTGTGCTATTGTTTACATTTAGCAAAAACCAAAAGCAGTGTGATGCAATTCCTCTCATCGTTCTGGCATGTTGTTTTATTTTCTAATAAATCAGCTAATTCTGCCATTGTGCCACTGACTCTGTAGATCATCTAAAGCAGCTGTCCTGGCTCCCACCTCGCTCATGCCCGGGATTCCACGGTGACTCTGACCCCTTGCTGGGATGCTCTTGGATGGAGCTGCTTCCACTGAAAACACCTTTGTCAGCCTTACAGGAGGATGCAGATTCCTATGTATGATTTAAACTCCTCTGCCCAGCACCCTGTTCATTAAGTTTCTATTTTATAAGCTCTGCCTCCCAAGAGCCCAGCTAGTAAATTCCCAGCAGCCTCTCCTTAAGCTGCCTTCTTTAATACAGTGGTATTAAATCCACTGGTGTGTGGATTAAGGGGTCCAGGCAAGGTGAGTAGCTGGTGTGAGGCTGTGCAGCAGTTAATGCACGGGGAGTCCTGGAGGGTTTTGCATCCTCCCAAGCAAGAGCATTGCAAACAGCTCCTGGACCAGGGCAGACTTTCCACAGGACATTAAAGAAAGCCTTCAGGAGGTTTCTTGGTGTCTGTACCTTATGTCTGTGCTGGCCAAATGACTAGAAACTATACCACAGAATGCAATTAATTATCTGGGGAGAGTCAACAGGGCTTCTGTAGAGGGAAGTCGTGTCTCACAAACCTCTTTGAGTTTTCTGAAGGAGTCAAAAAGCACATTGGTAAGGGTGAACTCTTTTATATTGCCACTGACTTCTACAGAGGCACAAAAGCTGTCATGAAAGTCAAAGTCCTCTGACAGATGATTAAAGCTGGGAGGCAGAGGGGGTGTTGGTGCCATGTGTCATTAGTCAGGGGCTGGATAAGGTGGTCATTAAAAACTAAAGGATTGTTTGATGATGGACAGTTATTTAGGATGCTAAAGGTAGACTGGGATATTGCAAAAAGCTCTAATGAAACTGAAAATGGGGAAGTCATTGTAGGTATGTACTAAAGGATGCTGTGCTTCACCTTTCAAGTGATGTGCTCTTTTCTGGCCCCTGCCACTTGGGCACAAGGGCTGGGGGCTCTGGTAACCATTCTCACTCAAATATTTCCACATCTGGCAGCAGTAGAGGCAAACCATATATCAGGAATGAATGGTTGGAGAGGAGTAAAATTTAGAACACCCTCCTGCCTCTCTAAAGGTGCTGTGGCACCCACATATTAGGGCTTTGTGCAGTTCTGGTCCTTGCATTCCCAGGAGACTATAAAGGCTTTGGAGAAGAGCAATGGCATCAGGGAGTGAGATGCCTCCCTGGCCATCCATGCCCTGCAGGAGCTGAGGAGCAGCTCAGCTGAGGAGTGTGAGCCCCTTTCCCCTGGTTACCTTGATATGTGTGGCACAGGGGTGAGTGCTGCTCTCAGCACTCCAACGTGAGCTGTGAGGAGAGACTCAAAGGCCTTTTTCTGAGTGGTGATGAGGTGCTGCAGCAGCACCCAGTCAATATTTGCAGACCTCCCTGTGAGAAAGCTCCTGGTAACTGCCCTGAAATGACAAGGCCTCAACCCTCATCTGACCACCCACAAATAATTTCCTGGTCCCCAAAACCCTCCCCAAGCCCTATTTCCTCATAGCTGAGGCCAGACAGAGGTTTCCACATCTGCCCCAACACAGAGAGCTTCAGCCAGCTTTGGGAAAAGTGGATTTTCTTGCATCTGCAGCAGGAACAGGAGCCTAAAAATAATCAACCTGCCCCTTTTTCTTTCAGCAAGCATGGAGGAAAGCAGATGAAAAATAAGTGTGAACCTTCCTCTTCCAGATTTGAGGATAAAGATATCCTCAAGACTATTTTTAAAGGTTTTTTTTTCTTCCTTAAATGCCTTATTTTCATTTGTTTTTCCAAAACCGTTGGTACATGATTTTGCCCACAAAAGATTTTTCTTTCTGCAGAGCTGCATTTCATAAAGCTGGAAGCCTGCCAACCTTTTAGCACAAAGTAATCAGTCCAGCCTTTGTTTCCATGAGTGATTATGGGATTTGGGTGAATTTTATAGGATTTAAAATTTCTTGGAAAGCTGGTGGCCTTAGGAACTCAAAGCCTGAAAAATTATTTTGGTTTCTGAAAAAGTGATGCATTTGGGTGTCTCTTAGCCCAGCCTGGGATGTGACCCAAGCCCCTTGGACACGCTCATCTTCCCATGAGGTTGGAAGACAGATGGGGCTGGCAAAGCCAGGCATGACGAGATTCCTGGGATACAAAGGTGTACCTTGCTTTCTGATACCAAAAGCTGGGTTTACACTTGTCATCCTCTGAAGAGATTATTTTTCTGACTAAATGGGGAAATAGGGAATAGCAGAGTGATCTGTAAACCACCACTGGGTAGACAACTCCAGTGCTATGTCCAGGGATGCTCAGGGATGCCTCCTTCACTCATCTGTGGCCAGCTCCTCCCCAGACAGCCTCCATTTGAGGATGACCCATCAGTGTATCCACATTTTCTCTGTTGGGCTGTATCAACTGGGCTGAATGTTTCTGAAGCTGCAGACCTTCTTCAGTCAAAATTCCTGGAAAAATCTGATTCAAAAGAATGTTGTATGGGAGAAGTGGGGCAGGGGAAATATGCATTTGAACTGAGAAAAAGAAAAGTGTTAATTCAAAAGGAATTTTTTTTTTAAAAAATGAAGTTAAAAGGCCCTGGATCAGACTCTCTGTAAAGCCCACACAGCTTCCAGAGAAAACCATGCCTCATTTCTTGAACTCAACCAGTTCCTCTTCAGCCATGGGGAGAGCTGAGGAGATGCTGAGATTAGGGCAGGCTTCCCTTTGACATCTTTCTCCAGCAGCAGCATGCTCTGAGCAGTGCTCCCTGGACCTCATCCTGCCCACAGCCCCAGAGCATTGCAGACTCTCATGACCCTCTTGGCTGCTGAGCTCAGGCAGAAGCCTCTCCTGCTGGGCTCCCAAAAACCAGAGCACCCAGGCAGAGGAGACGTTGTGTTACAACCTAATTTGTTCTTGGCTTGATGCTACCCTCAGGACTAATTGCTTTATATTAAAGCATCTGTGAAAAGGAATACTAAATAAATAAAGTTGAGCCTGCTGGAGGGAAGAGATGCTACTCCATAAATGCAAAGCACCAAAACAGAAATCAGCATTGCTCTTCATCTGCAATTCCAAGCAGTTTTGCAAACCCATCTCCTGGCTGCAGTCAGGGGCAAGAGGCACAGTGGGATATGGGGATTGTTGCTGAGACATGGGCGCAAGTGGCACCAGCCACAGTGGTCACCACCACCGCCAGCAGCAGCAGAAAAACATGAATGAGACACCCGCTGGTGCCTTGTCACTTCTCACAGCATCTCGTCAGAGAAGCATTGGCCTTGGAGAGGAAACACAAAGTAGGCTTGCTCGAAATGTGGCACCCCAAACACCCCAAAATCCAGCCCTGGCCGGGTGTGCCTCCATTTCCTTATCTGTTATGCAGAGCTGAACAAGACAAACCTCTCTGTGGAGGACTGTGAAGATCTCCAGATAAAAGTGCTGAGTACAGAGGAGGATGATTAAAGCCATCAGCACCCTTTGCTATGCACACAGTCTAAACACGCTTGGGCCATCCTGGGCTCTTTGAAAACTGTTAGATGTTTTCAAGCTAAATATTTATTTTATCTGCCGGGACAGCCCTGTGTCGGGAGATCAGCTCACTCCCTCTGTCAAAGGCGTTCTCAGCAAAGTGTTACGGGCTCGGGGCGGGACTCATGCACGGGCTGAACATGTGGGAAAAAATGCTGGAGCAGCCCAAGAGCCTGACCCTGCTCCCAGCAGAGCTGGGGCACCGCTTGGAACATGCACCAGCCACGTGATAGCACAGTGGGCACTCCCCACTGGAAACTTTGACTCAAACCCCTTGAATAGCCACACAAGGATGCTGTATTTTTTCCTTCCTCATTGGGAAAAAATGGTCTTGAAGGCCTTTGCCCGGGAAGCTGGTAAAATGTGATGTTTAATCAATCGAGAAAAGATGCCATCCACTCAGGATGGGACAGGTTAGGGTTAAGGAGTGCAGGAAATGACAGTGGCATTAGCTGGTAACTTGGTTTGTCTCGAGGTTGCTCTAGTAAAAGCTTAAAAAAATTAGGCATTATTGGAGAGTATTTGGCTTAAGTAAGTGACCCATGACATGAATTATTTTCATCCAAGAGAGAGAAAAAGAATTTATGTGTTTGCTATTGCTTCCCATGGTGACAATCCATATTTTGCCACCTATTTTTCAGGAACACAATAAAGGAAGATTTTACTATGAGGTGGTTTTGGGTCTGAGAGAGGAGCAGAAGGATTGGGCAGAGACATCTGAGAGCTGTGTCAGACCAGC